GCCCTGAAGGAGATCTAAATAAAGATCGAAACGTTGGCATGATAAAGAAAATGTTTTTTAAAACGTACATCACAACAGACTGCACCTCACGATTTCCAAATAATTATTCTTTATGTAAGCTTTTGGTTGAAATGAAAAAGTTAGTGCAACGGGCGGGATTCGAACCCATGCCTTCGGCCAAATACGCCGCTGCTTTACCGCTTGAGCTATCGTGACTTCCAGTCACTCGAATAACTCCGCATTTCAACCAACCAAACCTTTCGAATTTTTCCTCTTTTCGCTATTTTTCTTACTTTTCTATCTCAACCTACCTTTCGAATTTTTCCTCATTTTTGTCATTTTTTAAATGTCGTGTAATCAGGATTTGATTCTCGGCGACAAATGAAATGGCTACGGAGAGCTTTAGTGAAGGTATACTTCATTTTAACTTATTAAATTCACTAGTTTTCGTGGTCCGCATGACCAATTAATATCTTTCAATTAATTAAGGTCTTTAGTTGAGATAAAAAATTCAAAGGTGGCGTTAAGATGGAAAGTTGGTGTCCGAGTGGATCGAAGTCACGATAGCTCAAGTGGTTAGAGCAGCGGCGTATCTAGCCGAAGGTCGTGGGTTCGAAGCCCACTCGTTACACTGACTTTTTTATCTCAACTAAAAATCTTAATTAATTGAAAGATATTAATTGGTCAAGCGGACCACGAAAACTAGTGCATTTAATATTTTCAAAGTTCCCGTTGGTCTAATGTGCAACGTATTGGGTACAACTGAATCTGAGCATATATGTATGTACAGATATTTAAACAAATAAATTTAGTACAGTCCATTAGGTTTTCTGTTTTGTTAACTGTCTATTTATGTTGTTGGTCACGTTGATCTGATATCAATCTCTTTATACGACAACTTATCAACTGAGGCTTTAGAGTCGGCTGCACATTTGCAACAAATGTCTACGAATATATGTGAATTATTCTATATTATATACTTCACTTTTGCTAATTTATTTGAAAATAATTACCGTACATTTTTACATTGAGTTTACACCAATTGCAATACTTTCTTTTGAGAATGATTTTTAATTAAAGCACAAAAGAAGCGGGCGAGTTGTTAAAGAAAATAAAGTCATTTTTATTTAACGACCTCAGTAATTTTAAAAATTAAAACCTCTTGATGAAAGTGTAAGACCGGTTTATATATTAAGATGTACTACATTTTTAATTATAGGTAACACTAAGGTGTGCCTAATTTTTTTTTTTTCTAACAACATTGATACAAATTGAGTCAGAGTTCTTTTACATTAATTTTGTAAACGGCTTAATTTTTTTAACAAATCCTATCTTGGACAATTAAATCTACAAGACTTTTCGAGATTATTCTGATTAACAATATATTGTTTCGAGAAAACAAACACACGATAACAGTTTGAAACAAACTGAATTAAATTTAATTGCCGGAAACAGATTTTTTTTTTAAACAATTAATCACAAAATATGTCATACATAGACTAATTTATATTGGAATTTTTACTTCCCAAAACAGGAGCAGAACAAATTAAATTAGGGTTTATTTGATTATAATGGCTAATATTGTTTGAAGTATGTTACGTAATATTTTTCTCATGATGTTCATTGACCCTTTAAATCACGAATTTAATGAAAAATGTTCAATTAATTTATTTTGGTAATCTAATCTTTATGAATGTGTGCGTTCTTTTTGTACAGAATGTTGTTAACGTGTTTCCTTATTGGAGGAAAACTTTACAAGTTAGAAGAACATATGGTTTTGTTCCGACTAAAGACAACAACCGATGAAGGTAAACAAAGCCGAAACAGCTAAAACAAAACGAAGAAAACGTCCAGACGTTCTAACAACAGTAAATCAGCTCGCGAATTCACACAATCAGCATTCGTTTAGACGAAATATGTAACAACTGTTAAAAAAGTGAAATATTTTTTTTTAACAAAACAAAATTTTAATCGAAACAAAAAATATATACATGACTTTAATTTGTATAAAACGTTTTATCAGGCTCAGTTTAATTACTCAAATTTACGTGAAATCGTTAATAAAACGTATTCTTCGTATACAGGCATACTTCTCCAAAAGATTTTCGTTCGAACAAAATAATTTTTGTTCCACAAATAACTCTAATCTTTTCAAACCTAAATATTTTTCATGCATATACAGATCAGAAAGTGTTTATTCGATACTTTCACAGTATTAAATCTCACTTTCGTGGATTTTATTAGTCAATGATCACTTGAACTTCCTGAATCCTTCTGGACCTGATTTTGATAATTTGATAATGTATGTTTACAAAAGGTACTGAATCTTTGGGATTGAAACGAAACCGGCCACAAATGTAATGCTATTCATTGTTATATTTCTTTGTTGTAAATGAAGGAAATGTGATGTTACTCTGTAGAATATGTAAAGAAACGTAAACACAATTTTGTCGTGTTTTTCTTATTGTGTCGTAATTTATAGGGAAAAAATAACGTCATTTTTTTGTAAATGTTGTGAATGTGCGTTTTATTTTACATTACTCATTATACAGTTAAATTTATGTGTCAATGATCACTTGAATGTTATCATCCTGGACCTAATTGTTAATAATTTGGTAATACATGTTTACAAAATGCAGAGAAAATGTCGAAACAAAACGAAACCAGGCATAAATGCAGTGTTATTCGTTGTTTTGTTTCTTGTAAAAAAAGGAAATGTGTTGTTACTCTGCAATATATTTAAACAAATGAAAATACAATTGGGTCGTGTTTTTCTTATTGTGTCGTCATTTATAAAAAAGGACCCATTTTATTTGTAAGCGTACAATTTGTTTTATCGTATATAAAATATTATACAGTGGATTTTAAGAGTCAATGATCACTTGAAGTGTATCCTACTGGACCTGATTGTTCATAATGTGGCAATATATGTTTGCAAAATGCATTGAATCTGTTGAAATGAAACAAAACCGGAAATAAATATAATGCTATTCGTTAGATTATTACTTTATTGTAAATGAAATGTTTTGTTATTCTGCAGTCTATGTAAACAAATGTAAATAAAATTGTGTCGTGTTTTACGTATTGTGTCGTCATGTGTAAAAAAATGACGTCTTTTTAGTGTAAATTTTATTTTACATTAAACATTATACAGTGGATTTTACGACTCAATCTCTTGAACTTTATTATCCTATAGCTGATTGTTGATAATTTGGCAATATGTATATGTTTACAAAATGTACTGAATCTGTAGAAATGAAACGAAATTGACCATAAATATAATGCTAATCGTTATTTTATTTCCTTATTTAGATAAAGGAAATGTGTGGTTACTCTGCAGTCTATCGAAGGAGATATAAATACAATTGGTCGTATTTTCTTATTGTGTCGTCATGTGTAAAAAATGACGTCATTTTATGGTAAATGATTGTAAGTGTACATTTTATTTTACATTAAACATTATACAGTGGATTTTATGAGTCAACGATCACATGAACTTTATTTTCCTGGAGCTGATTGTTGATCATTTGGCAATGTATATTTTTACAAAATGTACTGAATCTGTAAAAATGAAACGAAATCGGCCATAAATACAATGCTATTCGTTATTTTATTTCTGTATTGCAAATAAAGGAAATGTTTTGTTAATCTTCAGTATATCGAAAGTTATATAAACATAATTGTGTCGTATTTTTCTTATTGTGCCGTCATGTATAAAAAATGACGTCATTTTATGGCAAATGATAGTAAGTGTACATTTCATTTTATATTAAACATTATACAGTGAATGTTTTGAGTCAATGATCGCTCGAACTTTATTCTCCTGGAGCTGATTGTTGATAATTTGGCAATGTATATGTTTACAAAATGTACTGAATGTGTAGAAATGAAAAATTGTGTCATGTTTTTCTTATTGTGTCGTCATGCGTAAAAAATGACGTCATTTTATGGCAAATGATAGTAAGTGTATATTTCATTTTATATTAAACATTATACAGTGAATGTTTTGAGTCAATGATCACTCGAACTTTATTCTCCTGGAGCTGATTGTTGATAATTTGGCAATGTATATGTTTACAAAATGTACTGAATGTGTAGAAATGAAAAATTGTGTCATGTTTTTCTTATTGTGTCGTCATGCGTAAAAAATGACGTCATTTTATGGCAAATGATAGTAAGTGTACATTTCATTTTATATTAAACATTATACAGTGAATGTTTTGAGTCAATGATCACTCGAACTTTATTCTCCTGGACCTGATTGTTTATAATGTGGTAATATAAGTTAACAAAACACACTGATTCTTATACAAAAAAGGACGTCATTATATTGTAAAAGTTGTAAGTATATGTTTCATTTTACATCACATATTACACAGTGGCTTTTATGAGTCAATGATCACTTGAACTTAATTCTCCTGGACCTGATTGTTTATAATGTCGTAATATAAGTTTACTAAACGCACTGAATCATATACAAAAATGGCGCCATTATATTGTAAAAGTTGTAAGTGTAGATTTTATTTTAAATGGCACATGCTACAATTACTTAAAAAACAGAAATTGGACAGTAAAAACTGCTGATGCGGGTTCAAAATTTACCGTAAAATTATTTGTATGTAGAGAACTGTCAAAAGTACGGTGGAAAAGAATGGAAATGTGGCCTGGAGAGGAGAGCAGGTTAATTGCAGAAAACAAAGTAGACGCTGATTTGGCGCGTGCGGCACCCCCACTCCTCGCTGTGCCGCTGTAAACAAATCGTGTCTAGCTCTCAAAAGATCTCGTTGAAACAAACCGATCAGCGGGACGCTCGACAATTAAATCGCTATAATTAAAAATGGGATCGTAAATTGTCGGCATTGAGCCGATAATCGGCTGAACGAGGTTGAGCCGGAGCCGGCGTTCGCGATTTTCGCCGGGCTTCGAGTTGGGCCGACGAAGAAATGGAAACGATCTCCTTCCACTTTAAAAAAGAGAAAAAAGTCCATAAAAGCACTTACTAGGTTGTGAGACTTGCTGAGGGGCGGTGATCCGTGATTCTGCGGTCGTTATCATTCTCAATCACCAGTCACTTGAACAACACCTGTGAATCAGAGTTCGATCCTCCCGTTGGGGTCGGAGACCATGTCAGGTCGGTGCCTGGTCACTGAATGAGGCGAGATCCACGCTTGGGGTGTCGGGCCCGGAGGCGCGCTGAGAGCGCAAGCGCTTTCGGCTCGTGCCATCGGCGCCCTCCTAAATGAGATTACTTTTATACACCCCCAACCCCCGGCCACCGCCCCCGCCACCCGCCGCCGCCGCCAACCCTTCCGACACCCGACCCCGTCTCCCGCAAACCCCGCAGAAATTGCCTGGGTTAATTATAATTATGTTATTGATTTTCTAGATTGTCAGTGGGAGGATATTACTTTTTCTTATTGGCTCTTATTAAAAATATGTTTTCAGCCGGGGTAGTATGCCCCGGCGGTATGACAAAGCGTGTTAATTAAAGTGAGCATTAATTAAGTAAACTCGGGGAGATGTTTGGCGCAATTAGGCGGGAAAAACAGAGAACAAGGCCTTCTCTACCGGGGCGTTCTCTGATTAATTAGAGTTCTCCTGTTTGCCGAAAGGGCCTCTCTCTCGCTACCGTTTCGAATTCCTTTGAATCCTTTGTCATCCCTTTCATTACCGACCCTTTAATTGATCCTTTAAGGGTCTCCTGCGAAACCTTTTTCCCTTTAATCCGCACGGACCGTCCCGCCGGGGCCCCACCCCGCCCGTGGGTTTGAGAAAGCAATTTGTTTGCTCCTTTTATACAGTTTATACATTGCCCTGAGCGGGCGTAATCAACTTCCAAAGCACACATTTCAACCCCCATCTACCCTCCTCTCAACAATTTCTTTTTTGAATAAATGCTCTAATAAACCTTAAGAGAGACTCCTTGTCAAAATGCCTTTATAAAATTAATATAACGCCTTTCTCAATGACTTCTCTAATCCGATACTCTCTCCCTTTCAGTTTTGTTTCCCGAGACGTCTTGTGATAAAGGGCAGTTAGCACGCATTAACTAGACCTTTTCCACCCTTTTTCAATACACTTACACACAAAATATGCTGAATATGAAGCAACACTAAACAGAAATATATCAATTGATGGATTCATTTCAAAAAGAAAGCACTCAGGTCTTTTGATTTTTTAAATTATTTTGATATACACTTACAAGGGGACCAGGTTGGTGTTCACGGATTTGGACCAACCTTTTTTTCGAAATTCGACACTCCAAAATATCGGACAAGTATCCGCCACTTCTTGCGAATAATCGGGTTTCGCCAAAACAAAATTTCTGAAAGTTGAAATTTACCGTTTTTTAATATTTCCATTTCACCGATTTTCTTGCTATAATCAGCTATGTGAATATATCATTTTAAACCATTTTTTGTGTACATTACAATAAAAATATAGTAAAAACTCTGAAGGTTTACCAATAGTCAAAAAATTAAAATTAATTTTTTTTTCAAGTAACAAGGTCAAATTTTTTTCAAATACAAATATGTTTTTCGTAACTTTACACTCCAAAATATCGGACACGTATTTGTGAATAATTCGGTTTCGCTAAAAAAATTCTGAATGTTGAAATTTACAGATTTTTAATATTTTCATTTCACCTTTTTAATTGCTGAATTTTGATATAAACTTACAAGGGGACCAGGTTGGTGTTCACGGATTTGGACCAACCTTTTTTTTTTTAAATTCTACTCTCCAAAATATAGGAGAAGTATCCGCCACTTCTTGTGAATAATCGGGTTTCCCCCCCCCAAAAAAAAAAATTCTGAATGTTGAAATTTACCGTTTTTAATATTTCCACTTCGCCATTTTTCTTGCTATAATCAGCTATGTGAATGTATCATTTTACACCATTTTTTATGTAGTTACAATAAAAATATTGTAAAAACTGAAAGTTTACTAATAATAAACAAATTAAATTTTTTAAAAATTCAAGTAACTAGGTCATAATTTTGCTTTTTCTTAAAACAAATATGAAATTTTATTTTAGCACCTTTAGAGGGCCCCTAAATATAAATTTTTGTTTGAATTACAATTTATCGATTTTTGACACAAAATTTTTCCGATTTTTAAGAAGTTGAATATCTGATTTGAACGCTATAATTCAAAACCGACTAAAAGGATTTCAACGTCCAACCTACCATTTGAAAGAAAAGTAACGCAGCTTTTTTACGATGTATGTAAGATAAAAATATGTAAAAGAATTCAATAAGAAAATACTCGAAATAGGAAAATTATTTGTCAAGATTTGATCACTTTTTTAATGGAAATAATAGTCCGACTTTAATGTTTATGCATTTATAAAATGTACTTGACAATTCCTGTCAAAGGAATTATCAACTTCATTAAATGCACTAATTTCGTGGTCCGCTTGACCAATTAATATATTACAATTAATTAAAATTTTTAGTTGAGATAAAAAGTCAATGGCACGAGCAGGATTCGAACCCACAATCCATCTCAGGAAGGAGGCAAAACTCAAAAGGTGGGGTTGAGATGGGAAGTTAGTGTCCGAGTGGATCGAGGTCACATAGCTCCAGTGGTAGAGCAGCGGCGTATCTAGCCGAAGATCGTTGGTTCGAATCCCGCTCGTGCCATTAACTTTTTTTCATCTCAACTAAAAACCTTAATTAATTGTAAGAATTATCAACCATGAAAATCGGTCTTCTAGGTTTTGAAAAAGGTTGTTAAAACTTGCAGGAATGTCGGTCATGTAGAAAGGTCGTCGAAATTATCAATAAAAAAATTAATTTACACCGATTTCCCCGAAATTCGGTATCTAAGGGTTTTATAACGCTAGAATCACGACGATGAGGTCAAATCCAAGTTTCGACCTTTTTCTGATCAACTTTGTTTACTGAATGTTTGTTAACATACGCAAAAAAGCAGTATTTTGTTTATTTATCTTTTTAAGTCATACCAAATTATAATTTTCTGTGTCATAGAACATTTTTAATTTTATGTTTTTGTTTTATGTTATTATTCTAAATTTATTATAAAGGATAAAAATCACAAAACTCTCCAGCGCATTCTCAACAAAATTCCAATTCATTAATTTTGAAACAGGAGAAACCAAATATTATTCTGGTTGACTGAATTTATTTATATTGTATAAATTAAAATATTAAAACAAATAATTATGAAGTCAATTTAGTTAAATGAGCAAAAATCGTGTAATAATTTCGTTGTTGGTTAACATAAAATCAAGAACAAATAGAACGGCGAAATAAAAATCTTAAAAACCGGTAAATTTCTACTGTCAAATTTTTTGGCGAAACCACAATTTATAAGATATCGCTCTTGAGCTATTTCTCTGAATGCTGGAAAGTTTCAAAACTTAACATTAAAAACAATCCCGGTAAGCTTCATGAAATCCCTTCAAGCTACAGACCAATTAAGATTTTTGAAAATTTGGTAGTAGTATAAAATGAAGGCTTCTGGGATTTTACAACTTCATCGTTGAACAATGTCCAGATCCATTTTGCAATAAATACCGATGAAGGGTCGATATAGGCGATGTGTGCTATAACATTTCCGTGTTTCGATGGAATTCTATTGAAGGATTTGACTTAGGGTAAACGAACGATTTTTACTATTTAGCCTATCGAAAATAGAATTATACAAAAATGGTTTGCAACTCGCCTGGCTCCGAATCCTTCGTGACGAATCCAAAACCTCTTGCAGGTCTACCAGCTAAATACTTTACTTACTTAATTGTGATAATATACAGAGTTCAAGAAACAATGTAAGAATCTTTTTCTTTTATAATACTATAACAAATATGTGCTTATATCCGTCAAGATGACGAGGTAAAATGTACAAATATGTTTGAGTTCTTGGCAATGTTGCTACTGAGTCAATTTTGAAATCACCTGAAAAAGTTAAATATCTCAATCTGTAGACATATTTAAGTTGTTTTGCCTGATGTTGACCTTAAAATGCTCGAATACTTGGCAGTAGCAACTAAATTTGTTTTCTTCTTCAAAATCCAGAGTGTGTAAGTGAAAAATTGGTCGATACTTCTAATACTAATACTGAAAACTAAACAAATAATAATAGAATCATATTGTTCCGACAGTAATACAACTAATAAACTTGTCTTTTTTAAATAAAAATATTTCCAAAACAATCATATAATTTAATGAGTGGTGATTAGTGATCGTTAGTCGATGATTATTCGGAGATCGTGAGATTCCGTCTGGTGTGACGTAGGTTTGAGAAAAACCTTTTCTTTATCGTGCCAACGTTTCGATCATTATTGAGATCATCTTCAGGGCTCGAAGTCTTTGTTTTCTGTGTAGATGTGCCATTCTTGTGTGTCTTGGGCACTCTCAACACAACACACAAGAATGGCACAATTACGCAGAAAACAAACACTTGGAGCACCGAAGATGATCTTATTAAAGATCGAAACGTTGGCACGATAAAGAAAATGCATTACTAAAACCTACGTCACACCAGACCGCCTCTCACGATTTCCGAATAATCATATAATTTAAATTATCAATATTATATACTAACCGGCCATTAACTAGTGTCAGCTTTGTTTCAATCAATTCACTTATCTGTATAAAGAAGAAATAATTTTTTAACGGGTGTCTCGTGATAGAACGCAGTTAACCATCGTACACTTCTTCTTATCCCACCCTGCTCTATTATATTTCTATTTTCCCAAAATAATGGCTCTATAATCCCTTTAACGTTTTACGTTTACGCTTAAAGGAAATTGTCAATAAAAGGGTTGAATTAAAAAGAAAATCCCAGTTTAAACCCGTCATGAAACCTGATATAAATATCCCTTTTCCTAGACTATTTGTTTATAAAATGAATTCTGTTATTTCTAATAATATGGATTAATTTGGGGCGTCGATGGCCGCAACGGTTTAGACGTTGAAACTGCGCACATCACTGTAAGGTAAAGGTCCCGCGTTCGAATCCAGCGGCCCTGCATTCGAACCCCACATACAAATGTGCTTTTTTTCAAAAACATCGGCACCCCTAGGATTGATATAACCTCTGCTGTTGCGAACCATCGTAAAAAAATGGATTAATTATGGTAAATTTTAAATTTTCAGATTTTTTTCATTTTCTATTTTATATGATGGCTGGAAATACTGAATTTTAAATATG